CACAATTATTTTACAGAACAGAATACTTTATCTTCTAATATGCTTGTAATACAATATTTAGACTTGCAAATTTACTTCTGCCTGTATTTTATTATAGCATATGTTTAAAAATTCATTTTATTGCCTGGCTTACCAGCTGAGGTACCTTATAAAACAGTTTGTTTCTTCTCTTTGTCACTTAGTTGTGTTGTGTGTGTTTTTTTGTAGAAGAGTTATCTGTTCTGCTTGTGCTTTATATTGCTTTCCAGAAATATCATAGAAGAAAATCCTAAATAGTCTGGAAAAATTATCAGTCCTTATAGAACTATACAAGAACCATGCACTCTTAGTGACAATTTTTTTTAATTAGGCTTACACTTGAGTTTTGTATGGAAGCTTCAGAGACCTCTGTATATGCTTTTATAGCTGCAGTTCTTTTTCCTTACTGAGATGTTATACAGTACCAAGTCATATATTTACAGAAAACCATATGTACTTTATTACAACAATGTAACTTTTCTTAAGCAAACTCTTATTTTCTTTCTAGAAGACAAAATTTCACAAAACTTATTAATGATGATGTATGGTATTAAAATCTTTTCCAGAATTGCTGTTTGTGTCAAAGTAAGCATTTCATTAGATGATCAGTGAAAATCCAAAGGGGCTTTAAATAACGGACTGTTAAAGATCCAATTATTAGGCCCAAATTCCCAGTATATAGTAGCAAGACTGGAGATGGATCTTCCCAAGGACAAAACAATTCACTTGTGCATACATACCACAATAGCGGTAAGAAAATGAAAATTCTCTGTGAAAATAAATGTCACAAGAAGAAGACATGCTTTTGATGTCAAAATCTTAGTTCAGAAAACTTTCATCAAAATGAAGGAAAAGATCCAGCAAATTTGGCCTGGAGTCTACTGCAATCTCAGAACAATGGAAATACTTCCTTTGCCATGTTCAATCAAACAAATGTTGTCAATAATGTTGCTGATATTTTCATTACAATTGAAAGACAATGACAGATGATCAAACCCAAATTAGGTTGTGACAGATACTTGATAGAAGAGAAAACCCTTCTGGACACCTAAAGGAAAGAGATAATTTTAACCCACAATACAAAGGGGAAGAACATTTATAATATTAGTTTTTACTTAATAGAGCTAGCAGTATATAGCCAGTAAACTTCCTCTTTATGCAGCTGGATGACCTAGTAAGTATATGCAACACAAAATCTCTACTTGTAATCTGTGTTTCTTTTCCTCCCAGACAGTAGATTTATAAGATTTGTCACACAACAAAGGCATTATGACTGGCGTTTAACTTTATTTCTGATCTGAGTCAAGCTAGTTTTGAAGGAGTATGTGAACTGTATAGAGCTAATAAAGAATTTATATTAGAACTAAGCCATGCTAGGTAGAGAACCACCACTGGGATTTGTGATTTTATATGGAGAGAATATTTCTTCTTGTACAATTAAGAATACAGAAGAGCATAATAAAACCCAAATTAAAAAATAGCTTGTTCACTTTTAGTCTCTACTTTTTTAAGTACAGTGAAAAGTTTTGAAAAAGTGGAACATTTTTAATATATTGAACCTACATTTCAAACAACTTAGTGGGAGTTCCTGGATTTTCATATTTCTAATTGTAAGCGAAAAATGCATAAGAAGGGGAAAATAAAAAAATTTAAAAAAAATAAGAAAAAGAGGAATGAGAATGTAACTATATGGGCTGCAGTTTAGAGAAGAAGTGAAATTTAATGCTATTATTAAGGCAATATGTTCTTGAGATATGGATGCAGAATGTAAAGAAGGATGTTCTCAGACTGGGAAAAAAAAAAAAAAAAAGCATATACAAATGGAACAATAGTATGGAAGTTTTGGAAGCAGTTCTGTGTTTCTAGAGGTTTGTAATCATACTTGTGCTGAAGAGATAGGGAGTACTGTATCATACAGATTGTTTTATGGGAATGACATGTATCTCATGATCCTAAAGGAGCTGGCTGATGCGGTTGCTGAGCTGGTCTCCATCATATTAGAAAAGTTGTGGCTATTGGGTGAAGGCTGGAAAAAAAATAAATCCCTCACTCCAATTTATAAGAAAGGGAGGAAGAAGGACCTAGGGAACTACAGGCCAGTGAGCTTTGCACCTATGCCTGGGAAGATCATGGAACAGCTCCTCCTAGCAGACATGTTAAGGCACATGAGGGATGAGCAGGCAATCTGAAACAGCCAGCATGTCTTTACCAAGGAAAGGTTATGCCTGACCAATCCGGTGGCCTTCTATGATGAAGTGATTACACTGTTGGACAAAGGGGAGGCGACAATTACTTGGACTTGAGTACGGCCTTCGACATGGTCCCCCACGACATCCTTATCTCTAAATTGGAGAGATACAGATTGGATGGGAGGACTATTTGATGGATAAGGAATTGGTTGGAAGGAATTGGTTGGAAGACAGGGTTGTGTTGAATGGCACTATGTCCAGGTGGAGGCCAGTGCCAAGTGGCGTCCCACAGAGGTCTGTCTTGGGTCCGGTGCTCTTCAACATCTTCATCAATGATGACAGGCTCAAGTGCACCCTCAGCAACTTTGCCAATGATACCAAACTGAGTGGTGCAGTTGATGTATTGGAAGGGAAACCATCCAGAGGGACCTTGATAAACACAAAAGGTGGGCTTATGTGAACCTCATGAGGTTCAACATAGAGAAGTGCAAGGTTTTGCATTTGGGTCAGAGTAATCCCAGATACACGTACAGACTTAGAGAAGAACTTGAGAGTAGCACTGCAGAGAAGGACCTGGGGGCCCTTGTGGATGAAAAACTGAACATGAGCCAGCAGTGTGCTCTTGCAGCTCAGATGGCTAAAGGTCGGGGGCCCCAATACAGGAAAGACATGAAACTGTTGGAGAGGGACCTCATTGCAGCCTTCCAGTATTTAAAAGGGAATTATAAGAAGGAGGGGAATCACCTTTTTACGAGGGAAGGCAGTGATAGGACAAGGGAGAATGGTTTTAAGCTCAAGGAGGGAAGGTTTTGATTGGATGTCAGGGGGAAATCTTCAGAGAGAGTGATGAGGTGCTGGAACAGGCTGTTCAGAGAGTTGTGGATGCTCCACCCCTGGAGGTGTTCAAGGCCAGGTTGGATGGAGCCCTGAGCAATTTGGTCTAAGACCAGATCTGGAGGTTGATGGCCCTGCCTGTGGCGGGGGGGGTTGGAACTTGATGATCCTTTTGTTCCCTTCCAATCCAAGCCATTCTATGATTCTATGATTCTATGATTCTGTAATTCTGTGATACTTGGTATACTTAATTGAACTGACTGTGTTTTGTCTCCATATATACTATTTTGGCAGAAATTTTTCACGAATTACGTAGTGAGCAGAGAGCAACACAGTTATACAAAGCAGCATTTCCTCTTAGATATGTCCTGAAAGTAACATATAACAACACCTAATAAAACTTCTGAATCAGAGGTACTGCATAAATTAGTTGTGCTGTTTCAGTGGTGAATGGCATTCTTCACTGTTCATATATTGTGTTACAAGTAGCTTTTATAGAGCTACTGATATTTATCTTTGTGATGTCTCAGAAATGTCTAAAATATTTTTCCTGGTCTTTGTACATCACCTAACAGATTAGGTAGTCTGGGAAATTACGGGCTGCATAAGTAAACTATGCTCTTCAAAAGCACAGATCTTACTTGAACAATAAAACAATCAAGTATTTGAAGGTCTAAAACAGGTGTGTTTCAGATTTCCTAATAGGTAGTTAGCTACTTTTAGTACAAAGTGTATGTGATAATTACATCAAAAAACTGAACCGGCATGTCTAGACCAGTGCAAATCAGTCTTCCTGAAAGAAAGTGCAGTGCATGAGACTGCACTAGCTCCATTTTGACTAGATACAGTTATGATCACTCACAAGAACCGATTTGTAAAGACATCATGATATTTATTTGTATCTGACATATAAAGTGAACTGAATCTGAATGGGAAATAAGTAAGACAGTATGCACACTTAATATTAAAAATCTGTGTGGCAGCATTTGTACATTTGATAATGGAAAACAAATGAATATTATTCAAATGATTGCTCAGTTCTGCTTAACAGAATGAAGAATTGAGTCAAACTATGAAATCTATACTTCTGACCTTCTGTATTATAGACCGTCATAGACCATGCTTACACAAAAAAATAAGAAGGAACATAAGAACAAGTTTGTCTACTGGATCCAAACTACTTACACTGCCTAACACAGTGTCAGCTATCCCTTTGATTTGTTTTGGGTCACTCTTGTTAGCTCTACTAAAAAGATGCTTAAATGTGATCTGGGAAACAGTTATTTCCAGGACAATAATTTTTCCCAGTGGTACTGGCATGGTCTGCTGTTCCCTGGTCAAATTTTTGATATTGTCTCAGCACATCTATTTCATTTAGTTTATATCAGATTCCCATGTAACACACTGAATACATACAACCTGGATGTTTTGTATGTAACAGATATACACCAATATATGAAGCACAGCTTCATATATATATATTAGTACATATATATATATTGGTATATATATTAGTATTAGTCTAGATATTTTGAACTGAAAAATCCACACAAGATAATAATTGTATCTTAAGACACTGCATGGTCTGGAATAGATGCAGGGCCAGTTGCTATGTAGCATGGATTCTGTCTCTCTCCTCAAAAAAATTCCAGTCTGAAAGTGTGAGGGACAAGAGGCTTGGCCTCTGGGTTAGGGTTTAACGACCAATCTCTTATTTAGCAGTACAGAAGAAGTACAAATGGAAACATTGCATATGTTTTCAAATAAAAAATGAAGAATGAACATCTTTAAATGTGACTGTAAACCGGAGGGAAAAAAAAAAACAGAATTATCTTTCTGTGGATTCTGGATTTTTCTTTTAAAATCAAAACAATATTAGATAAAGAGATATGAAATTTTGGATGTTCTTTGAAGTTCTTCATCTGTACTACTAACTTGCATGCTATGTCTTGTTTTCAGTTGTTGCCGGGCAAATCATTTCCTAAATATGATAACTGGGATCTACGGCAAACAGGCAGTGGTGGAAGTGTGGAAGAACAAATCAGTGGAGATTGTGATGATGAAGATAGTTGCGGAGGATCAGGAAGTGAAGTAAAAAGAGTCCTGAAAATTACAGAATGTAAGTCCATGATTCCTTTTCATACATTCAAAGAGTGAAATACCATATGTTCCACTAAGAAACACCACTTATTATCTTGGAAAAGATATGGAGAAGTTGTCTACATAATGTTTCCAAAGTATACTGGAATAGGACTGTAATTATAAGACTTCCATGAGGATGGTATGAAGATAATTATCAGTTCCATCACAGCATATGTTAGTGCATAGCCCTCATTACATTATTTTAGTCAATTAATAGGTCTTATAATAATATTCTCCTCTGACCTACTGATTTAACATGAGAGGTAATACTTGGCAGTCTACCACAGAAGTTGTTTCTAATAATGAATGGAACTAATGTAATGGAACAATGCTGAAAGTAAAGCTTTTGCTGTGGTAGATGTATTTCGTAGAAAACTACCTGAGTCAAACTTTTCAATATTTATGATTTTACATTAGGAACGAGAATGAAAACATAAGATGTTAAATATCATCAGTATTTAAACTGGTGGAATTTTCTTTGTTTTGTATGACTGGTACTAAGTCCAAGCTAAGTCAGATCAAGAACTCCTGACTACCTATGTTACTTACTGCATTCTTTGTTCTTTGTGAAGTACGACTGAATGTCAGGCATACCTAACAGGTTGACTTGAGTATGGTTATCCTCAGTGATGGTCTGTTAGTTCTGAGGGTTTTTGTCCATCATAATGTTGGTTTGTTCTGTTGTTGTTGTTTTTTTGTTTTTTGTTTTTTTTTGGTATTCCTTTAATAGTCAGAAATGTCTGACTATTATATTTAGTTATGGTTACTATTTGATCTCATTAGTAATGGAAGACCAATGAAACTGAATTTCTGGTGCAGTAATTTATATTGGAAATCCTGAATATACTGATATACAGAAAAAAAAAAAAAAAAAAGACACATTTGCACTTTGAACAGGATGAAGATATTAGATTTGTTCAAATAAAAACCTTTATGAGTTGCAGATATTATTTTGTTTCTTCTAGTGCATAGCAGATCTTTGGTAATTTTTCAAATTACAAGATGCTTCTGTCCATTATGAAACACTAGTTTATCAGTTTAATATAACCGTATTTTTAAAGTGAAAAGCAGAATACTGTTGCAGTAATCTCAGACAGGTAAAAACACAATGGACTGAATTGGACAGTGCTCACATAGCAATGTAGAAATCCTAATGAGAAAAATCATGTTAGAAATAATATGTAATGAACTGTATTCATTATGGAAACGAGAAGTTTACCTTTACTTTACCTTTAATCTTTTGATACACTCAGGCATATAGATGGTGTTATCTTTTCCTTACCAAAAATTATTTTTAGTCTTTCATTTCCTATCAATTTTTCATAACCAGTCGGGAAAGGAAGGGAGATTACTGCTTATTTTTTATTACACTAAGTCTGGGGCTCCTATCCAAAGCCACATCTCTTTTTTTGATATATATTCCAAGAATTTCACCAAGGATATCCTGTTCCCAATAAGTTCATAATCTAAATTAATAAGCAAAATAAATAAGCAAAATAAATCTAAATAATCTGATGAAGTAGATAGAGAAATATCCATTCTAAACACATTGCTTTGCATGAAAATAATAAATAAACAAATAAATATGAGTACATATATCTTTTCTAGTTCCTCGTCATTGTCTTCTAAACATGTGTATAGTCCTCAGACCTAGAAGTAACAGGCAGGAAGGGAAGATATGTTTTTGCCAAGATATACCTCAAGCAATTTTATTTGAACATATAGCCACTGAAGTTGAGTGTTACAGATATAGGAAGTGTTTTCACTTAGTTTTGGAGACTGACTAATGTATGGTGACAGGCTTTAAATTCTTGTGGGCCAATGGAGAGAACTGTTATTTATGACTCAAAAACGATAGCCCTAGCATTATACTAGTGCTTAAAATATGTTGTATTCTTAAAAATTCCAGTTTTCATATTGAATAGTCAATTATTCTATTACATGTATTATTTCAGAGCCCTGCAATCTTTCTGACTGCTATGCCCTTTTTAAGTTGCTTTAAAACAGCAAATTGCTGCATTCTTTTGGAGCAGTGGTACTGCAAAGGATAGTATACTTTAACTGTATAAGATAAACACTAGTATAAAGCCTTCACACTTAGTGATTTTTATTCTACTCTAACCAAGAAGTCTTTACAGGACAATTTAATGTGTCATAATGAATTACCTCCTCAAACAAACAAACAAAACAAACAAACAAAACAAAACAAACAAAAACAAACAAACAGAATTCAAGATGAAATAGCAAGAAATACTTATCTAGCTGTGAGAAGAGAGGAAGAGCTAATCCTGCTATCACTCTGCTGAGATATTCACTGCCTTTTATCAAAATTCTCATAAGACTTATAGCAAGACCATTTATTTTCTGAAAATTTCTGTGCCACAGCTTTGTCTTTCTTCTTTTTTTTTCTAATTTTAACATTCAGTGCAGCTATTTCTTTACTATATGTCGTAGTTCAAGGCTCATATATTTAAAATTGACTACAGGGTCTTTAAACAAGCAAATCTTGACTCATCCTGTATTTGATTCTTCGCTTACCAGATATTTTCTCTGTCTGAAGAGAAAAACTCAAAAATATTTGATTTTATGATTAGTTAATCTATGGATTGTTATTTTCTTATTAAGATTATGCAATAGCATGGAAAAAATTGGAAAAGGCTTTATATTGTGACGTCCATATGAAAAGAGAGTATGATGATTCACATAATCCAGTCAATATCTTGTATCTGATTTTATTCTTCATTCTCTACTCCCTGACATCCTTTCTCCTCTTTCTGTTCTTTCACTCACTTTGGTATGGTTGTTTTTCTTGCCTCACCTTTCCTTCTCTATTTTAAAAGCATCCTTTGTAATAAGCATCATTTGTCCCCATCTCCAAAACTGTTTAAAACTACCATGGATGAGAAACTTTATTTAGTTTCTCTTTGTTCAAGGAGAGCAAACTTCATTAACTATGTTATTTGAAATGCTATAGAGCCTTTTCCATTTTGCTTTTCTCTGCTCATAAGCCTTGCCAGCGCAGTTCACAATCCTTTCCAAAATTAGAAAAAGAACAGTAATATCAGTTGAGTAATAACAAATCGTGAGAATGGGTAGAACTGGAAGAAAGATTAATAGCAGCAATGCTCATAGTATCTCTCAATAGTACAGCTGTTTTCTCTCCATTGCTTCATCAGCCTTTTCTGTCCTAAAAGTATGGGAAATTAACAGTTACTGTTCATTGAACAAAATAACCAGACTGAGTACAAATCTTAGCTACACTATAATACATGATTTTGTTGAGGTTGTGTTCATTCAAAGTGCTTGACTGAGACACAAGAAGAGGAAAAAGCTATTTTAGGCAGCAAAGGTAAATGTGACAAAATGACTGCATTTATCTTGATCTGTGCTTATTATAAATCAGTTGTCGGTCATTACGTAGGTAGGATTTAAATAAATCATCACTAAACTAGGTTGAGATAGATTCACTGTATAATCTGAATACAAAGAAAAGATTTACAGTAGAAATGTACAACCCCACAGAGTGTTAAACATGAACTAAAAACTGTGGATTAAATACCAATGTGTATTTTAACTTTAATATTAAAACATAATCAAATAATCTATACTTTGACTCATTTGATTACAGATTTAAGAATATACGTATGCAAGTAAAGTAAACATTGTGATCAACATTAGTTGTTTTAATGACATGACTGTTGGAGAGTGACAGTTTATAAGACTGGAAGATTCAAAATGATGTCAAGTAGCATAGCTGCTTCTCTATTCCCTGGTTTGCTATTTCTACTCATTTACACCAACCTCAGCTCCAAAAGTAGAGCAGTATTGTGGTCAAATTCGTTATGGAAGTGATGTAATGAAGAACTTCTCAGTAGATTTTTGACATCTCCAATTGGCTTAGGGTTCAAAGATTTATGACTAGTGGTACCCACCAGATAGCGAAAGCAATAAAATCTCTGTTATGATGTTAACCATTTGCTATATTGTTTTAAAGTTTAATATGCATTTGATATTACTTCAGTAAAGAAAAAGATCTCTTATGTAGGATTTCAGGTTTTATTTTGTTTGTGCACAATAGTATTACTAATCCCCTATTTTTAGTGTGAAGTGATCTTATTCATATTTCTTTGGAAGGACTGCATCACTTCATTATTTATGTTTGCTCTGTTGAGAACGTCTCAATTTTATTTAAAAATAGTACAAAAAATAAAAGTTCTTTCAGTGGACTCAAAACTTGATCTAAATGTTGCCATAAATTTTCAGTCTTGTTTTTATGCTCAGATATCATGTTGTGTTTTGTGGAATGATATAATTAACCATTTCTTATTTAGCTAGAATAACTGATATGTAACAATGGTTCCATTTTTAATTGAATTGAACTGAGATAAATTTTAACCTTATGGAATTCTCCCAAAATTGACTGTGTATTCCCTGTCTAACATTTCTGTCAAAAGTTGGTGAGTTATCTTTGAGACAACATAGAAAAGACAATGGTGTAGGAGGAGCAGAAAAATGAGGAAGGTTGCGGACAAATCCACTCAATTTTGAAATGCAGTAGGGTGCATTGCCCCACTATAGCATTTACTGTAAATTCTGCACTAATTGCAGGGAAATTTCACACAGAAAATGCTCATGTAAATGGACTACCATTCAGAGCAAATTTTATAGTCCACAGTGGGAGACTTAGCATATTAGTCATGGTCAGGTCTGTTCTGAACAGGGACTATACCTGTAATTGCCTTTCTGGTCCTCTGTAATTGCTTCTTGTCCTAAATTTGGGTGAAACAGTCAAACAGTATATTACTTTATTCAGTATGTAACTCATTAAGGCCTCTGCTCAGTCTACTCTGTTTTGGGCTGAACAAACCAAGGGAACCTCGGCTGCTCTTCATACATCTTGCCCTCTAGAATCTTTCATATCTTTGCTACCCTCCTTTGGATGCTTTAATAATTCTATGTATTATACAGTAGTGCCCA